CTTCCGCTTCCTGAAATCAGCAGCAGCGTGGAGAGGAGGGGGAGGGGGGAAGGGGGGCGTGTCTCCAGCGGGCTGCGGCGGAGGAACACCGACACCTGCCGGACACATCCATAGGTAGCATCAGGCCACCTGCTTGTCCATGAGGGTGTTCTCCAGCACTGCCTTTGTACGGACATTGTACACCTGTAGGAACAGTTTCAGGGCTTAATTTACTTCCACTGCTGCAGAAAAGACGTAAGTTCACCTATGACTTGATCTCTGATAAACGCTTGTGTTATATGATAGATACATTTTTTTTTTAGTTTTTGGTGACTTTTTTAGTTAGTTACTTAGTTTGGCAGTTTATCTCGCTTTGCACCATTTAAGATAACCTACTGGAAAAAACTGGAACTGGAAAAACGGGGGTGTAACCAGTTCCATGCAACCCCTCTATGGCCATGCAAATAAAAAAACACGTTATCCATGGAAGGCAAAAATATGTGACACCCATGTTAATTCCTAATTGTTTTTGCATTTGATTAAATTCAATATTTTCACAAAGAACAGGTCTGAGAAGAAGGATAGACCTGTGCATTTTGTCCCGCAGTGCCTACATGTAACCACCAGATGGAAACCAAACACCAGTGAACCGGGGCTTGTCTTTACTTAGACTTTGATCTGCAGATGACACATCAGCAGGCAAAGACAGTGGATGTCATATAATGTAAAATAAACAGAACTACCAGGAGATCTTATGGATAATGATATGCACTGAGTGGATTACTAAACCACACAGTGAGCCAAAACATACACAAAACTGTGTTGCTAAGCTAAATTGCTGGGAGGGTATGTTTGATTTATGTAGGCCGAACTTTATGTGCTCCCTGCAAATGCAGCCACTGTATAACCTATGAGGGGGTAAAATTACAATAACCTTAATGGACGCACATAATTTGTTCCTCAACTGCCTTAGCATTGCTGTGTACTGCTGATTTACATTTATTTGAACATTCACGCTGTCCCGAGGGCCCGCCTGGGTCCCCAGATGGCACAGACCTGGGTGCAGCTGCACTACTCGCACCCCCTGAAGCTCCACCAATGCACTGAGCACATTATAAAGAAAGTTCATGTTAGTATTGATGTTCTTCACTGCTCCAGACTCCAAATCAATCATGTCTTTTATTTAAGTATAAGTACAGTGATAATACTCTCTTACAAGTAAAAGTACAAAAATATAGTCACTGTTACATGAGTCAGTCATCAAGGTCTACGTTGAACGCAGTTGACACAGCTATCACCATTTTTTATCCAAAAACTTTTAAGACTTATTGGAGAGGTCATGCCAGATTTTCACATTGTTTCTTGTTGCTATTTGAATGACAGGGTCATAAAAATTCCCTAAGAATTTATTATTACCCATTAATTTAATTTTCCTTTTTTAATGTTAAAACCTATTTAATAGCATTTTTCATTCATTTTCCTTTCATTTTTTTTATTATTTATATACAGAGCAAGCTAATGTGCAGCCACTTTTCATATCAACACCACATACAGCACATGACTTTATTTTTGACAGTGACAACAAAGGCTACTAAAAATATTGTGGCCATTGTGCACTAAATACGAACACTGCAATTTTACAAACTTAGACAGTTACCATTAAAATATGAAAAACCCATTTACAAGAAAGTAGGCTAACTGAATTTAACTCAGCTGACTTCCTGTAGCCTGCTGCAGAGGTGATTGTCACTAGGTTTCATGGCCCTTATTGATCTGAAAACTGCATCCACACTGTGCTGCTGCATTGGAAGCTAAATTAGCCAGCTCCACTTAGCCATGGTTTTGAAGTTGGGAAACATTTCTCTCTGGAAATAATTAGAAGTTCCTATAAACATGAGATTTCCCGATCCTGATGCACTCACTTCACCAGGAGGAATACATTGCATGCACTCCTTCTGCACCAGAGGTGCAGTGCTCAAGTCTGAGTCCAGAAAGCCTGGACTCGAGTCAGATTTGAGTCAAAGTCCTGGACTCCAGTACTACAAGTACTACAAGTTATAATCATTAACATTAATGTACATTTATAAATAAATAAAAAAGCACAAGGACCTACAGCGTGTTACATTTATACACATTTATACAGCACATTTATTTGCTGTTTATAAATGAATGTAAATCCAAATGATCAAAAATGTAATCAAAACAAAATGATAGGAAACTGTTTCTGGAGCCTGATGTTACCAAATGTATTAGTGTACTTTTGTGTGTTGTGCTGAGTTTTCCTAAGATGCTTTGCTCTCTCTATGAATCGGGTAATATGACCTCACCACATGAACACACACACACATACACACACACACACACACACACAATATAGAATAATCATTCTTATGCAACTTTGCTGCTGTTAAATGTCATACTCTGCTTCTTTTTGTCACAATTTCAATTCTTTATTTTACAAACGAAGCCAGAAACAAGAACTGCCACCGACAGCTGTACTGTAATTTATATTAAAGCAAGTGTTACCTTTATCACAGGATTAATGTAAATTAGCTATAACTCAAATCTGAATTAAATGCTTAGTGTAACAAATACAAAATGCACTTTAAAATAGGAGGACAAAATAATTTATTTCATCAGCATAACTTTGTTACGTCACATAATGTTAAAATTTAATCAAACGCATACAATTAAAAGCCTAAGTTCTACAAAATTAAAAAAAAAACCCTTTTAACTTACTGTTTTAAATTCTAATTTATTCACTGGTCTCTCATGTAGCTGTTTAAAGTAAAGCTCTAAAAACACACTTTATACCAGCTCAGCACCAACCTGTGTTTTGACTATCTGTTTTTATTCTTGAAATTGTAGTATAACCAGATAACAGCAGTGTAGAAAAAAGGGATGTTTTCTTCACATTACATTAATCTTCTAAACACACTTTATATTCATTAACCCTGAGCAGGACAGCAGAGACATCCACTGTGTGTTAACCATTAGCTGTCAGAGATGGACACACACACACAGATCCTCTAATGTTGCCTGGTAACCTCCTGGAAACTGGTTTGTCTTTATGGTAGCAACCTCCTGGTCCAAAGTCCGTTGTTGCTTTGCTATTGGTCAGAGCTGATGCAGCTAGTTCGACTCCAGGGGTCTGCACTTGCAGCATTATCAAGTGTATGACTGGTAACAGAGTTATCCTTGTAGGTCTGCTGTACAAAAAGAGACATGTTTGATTACTTCTGTCAATAAAATTTGTAATTATGGAAAATGTTTCTCAATGTCTTTGATAAAAAGATATATTGGATATTGTTTTGGATATTATGACAGTATCAGATATGCAGTATTAATCTTATCAGTCTCATTAAACTGACTGGTACTGTATGTGTGAAAGTTCTGACATTTCTATTCAAAGTCAAAGGTCTGGAATGATTAGTGATAAGCAAATGACTTTTATTAAACTTGCTAATAACTTACAAGCAACGTAGACTCATGAGCCACTTTATTAGGCACAGCTGTGCAATTGTATGCACTTCAACACTTCTGCTTTAACATCTGTGCTTATGAAGCTCTGATGTTTCAGTTTTTAGTGAAATTACCATAAATATATAAATTTAATCCTATGTTTATTATTAAGGTCATAGTTAAAGGTGGTGTTGTACTGGACTACATTATATTTAGAGGTGTCTCTAAATTTTTGTCATCTAAACAGCGGTTGATTATACATCCTGCTGGATTTACTAACTACAACTATCACAACTAGTGCTGGGTTTCTTGTTGGTAACGGGAGTTACCAACACATTTGAGAAGAATGAGCAATTGTTAACACAATCTATGTATAATAATAAAATAATTTAACAAAAACAAAATGATGGTATATTTTTTTCTGTGTTTGTGAAGGTCAAAATGTTTCAGTTTTTAGTGAAATTGTCATAAATGTATAAATTCAATTATGTGTTTATTGTTGAGGTCATAATTAAAGGTGGTGTTGTACTGGACTGCATTATATTTTGAGATGCTCCTAATATTCTGACTGTCTCATGTATGTAACCAGGGAGGACAAAAAATAAAGACACCTCTGAATATAACAATATGACAATTTCACCAAAAACTGAAACATTTTGACCTTCATAAACACAGATGTTAAGGTGGAAGTGTTTCATTGAACTGCATACAATTGTACAGGTGTACCTAATAAAGTGCCCCATGAGTGTACATTCAAGTGTAAGGCAATGTGAGACAAAATACATTCAAGCCTAGTGGAAAAAAATGCCAGTGTTTGACTGTCTGGGGCTTTGGTAGCTCTCTCTTGCTGTGTCATAGATATCTCACAAACTGCATCCTCACCACATTGGCAACGTAATGTACACTGACAGAAGACACCGAAGTCTCACTTTCTTCTGCCCACAGGACAAAACGAGAACATCTTTTAGCCATTAGCTAACTTGGTCGCCTGTTAGCCAACCCTTGAACTCTGTCAGTTGTTTTACATTAAACATCATACACTCGGCCGACTGTCCTGTTGCTGTGACAGTGATGTCAAACAGAAAAACAATTATGTTTATCCATATTCTGGGACCAGGATCGCTGTAACAATCAACAAATATACTGTACTATATTCTACAAAGCTAACAGTATATTGATATGTACAAAACATTTTTCAAAGTTGGAAACATACACTTCAATACACTGTGTTATTACATTCCTAATATGAGCTGTAGGCTGGGTCTGAGATGACTTGCCGTTGGGTCTGGATCAGGGCCAGATTCTGGACTTTGAGAAGACTTGACCTCCAGGGTCTAGTGACACACAGAATAATCTGACACCATAAGTCACTCCAAACCACTCTTTGCTCCTCCAATCATATCCTGTTTCCATGTGAGGGTGTAGGAGGGTGAGGGGCCCTTTATGCCTGTGTCAGGGCCTCAGTGTGTCATAATCCGTCCATGTCTGTCTTTGTCTTTGGGATCACGTTCCCTGCTATATACTGTACAACAATCATCTAACCACTTTTACATTGTGTGTATTTTCAGTATTGACCTATTATGGTTTTCAATGAATAATATAACGCTGCACTTGTGTGTGAAATGTGCTACACAACTGCAGGTGCCTTTGCCTGCTTGTGGCGTATCATCAAGTTTACATTTTTAAGGTTTCCCTGGTCAAACACAAATAACACCATCATCATCATAACCTTCCTCTTCAGCAGAATTGAGAGCGCAAGATTCCCATAGGCCTATCACACACACACACACAGTTCCATGATGTACTATATGATGGTTGTATGTGCACATGCTACGTGTATGTGGCGACAGATGGTCGAGAGAGAGAGAGAGAGAGACCTTTGGCTCATACAAATGGAAGATGTGTCACGTGATCTCCGTGGCCGCTTTATTGACGTACGCACCATATGGCTCGTGCCGGAAGGGCGGAGCCTTAATATGCTAATTAGCCTCACCCCTATCTGTGTGCGCGTGTGTTTGCGTGCGTGCGTGTGTAGCGGGTATAAATGCAGCATCCTCCCAGAAAGCTCAGAGCAGGTCACGCACAGCCACGCACCTAGAGCGCGCGGGATGCCTGCCATCTGAAGGACAGCGGCTCCTTACAACAGGTACGTTTTAAAAAACCAATATCTGATTGATAAATGACTCTTCTGAGTGGTTTCTCAGACCTGACCTTCGGGATAATACATCTCACCATGTACCTCTACCATATTAAAGTTAATCAGTTACTGCTAATTTAACGGAGATTTCTAAGATTTAATTTAACAGTGATTCAATAACTGAATAATTCGTCATCTGTAGCCTACGTATCAGGGTTTATCAAAAATAAAACAAACCTCTTCAGGCTAATATAAAAATGCATGTAGCGCCATTTTCATTTAATTTTAAGAAATAAGTTTTACCCTATAATTTATAACCTACAATTTTACCGCCCGTTTTATTTTAAACATTCATTTATTTACTTACTTATCTATTTATTTATTGCCTTTCTTCTTCCCTGGAACCTCATTTTTCTAAAATATTGTTTACGTTCTGTTGTGTGTTTTATTTGTCCGATCACCTCCACCTGTCTGTGCCGTTTTCAGTTATCGGGACCAATCAATGGAAAAGGGAATGAAACATTCAGCAGCAATTATCTGACCATGAATAAGCTAAAATCGATCACCCCATTCTGTGTGTCAGAAGCATGTTTTCAGGCTACATGTGAAATCTGACACATTTTAAATAGGTTAAAATGTTGAAATTAACTGAGCAAAGGTGCAGATTTCAACTGTTTTTCAGTAACTAAACTGAAATAAGAACCGAGTCATTTGCGGGATATCTGAGGCTTCTCTTTTTTAAGGCGTGTTACATCTTACCGACTGAAAATTTAATCATTAAATGTTTGGTTTTGACCCATATAAATTAAATTATGGAATAGTTGCAGCTTCATACTGACAGTTTTACCGTAGCCATTGTTTTTCACTCACCGTCCAAAACAACACTGATTGCATAAAGATACAGATATTTTATTTTTCCAGCGCGGGTACACACGAATAATTAATCACACAATTCATTTTCTGAACTCTGATACGAGTTAGGAAAGTGCATGAATTTGGATTCAACCTGCTTTTTTCGCATTTTATCCAAATTATGATTTTTTCCAAAATAAGAGCTGGTGTACTTTTATTTTTTCACCCCTCACTTTCATTTTTTTTCTTTTTATTTCAAATAAGTAAAAAAGCACAAAAGCTCAATTAAATGATCAGTTTTGCATTTCTGCTCCATTTTATTTAAAATAAAATAAAAGTTACAACTGCTATTCATCACCCATCTATTCATACACCTGCTGTTCATCATGTAGACACAAACCAAATATTTGGAGTCTGCTCTTATGGGAATAAACTCTGTTAACATCAGCACAACAATATTTATTTTTTATTTATTGTTTTATTTATATCAATAAAGGTAACTGTGTACAGTAGCTGGCCACCAGATCAACAGATACACACAGTAGATTCAAAAAGAAAAAAAACATAATTAACCAAAAACAATCATAAGTTATAAACTTAAATCTGTATGTGTTATTTGTAATAAACTGTATTTGTTTGCACTATCTAAACTCGGCCCTGTTGATGTGATAAACTGAACAACAACCAAAACTACTTTAAAACAAAAAGCAAAATGAGTTTGCAGAAAAATGTTGCATGATTTTACATATACATTGAACTATATGTTAGAAGAAATTAGGTTGACGTGTCTAGGATATCATATGAAATGTTTATATTAAAATAAATTTGTAGAAAATCAGTTCTAGTAGGCAGTTTAGTTAGTTAGCATTAATGGCTTCTTCTATATTGAGAATAAGTGTGACAATGAGCTCTCTGCTGATGTGTTTTAATGGTCATGGTTCTTCTGTTTTCAGATAATCAGCATCATGACCAGGTCTGTGCAGGAGGAGCAGGCAGCAGTGGACTCGGAGGAGCAGCAGGAGCTCTGTAGCCCCACAGGAGGACAGCCAGAGGGGGGAGGAGGAGGGGGAGGAGAGGAAGAGGAAGACCGCCTCCACCGCATGGAGGAGGATGAGGAGGAGGATGAAGAGGAGGAAGAGGAGGAGGAGGAGGAGGAGGAGGAGGAGGAGGAGGAACATGGTGACAACAAACCTAAGAGGCGAGGGCCAAAGAAGAAGAAGATGACAAAGGCTCGACTCCAGAGGTGAAGGGGACAGTGTTGTGTTTCCTTCTCTTGTTCTGAGTTTTACATATTTTGAGCACCTGAACTCAGCTAAAATTAAAAATAATAATAATAAAATTGGTCCCGAGGGTGGCACCAGAGGAAGGGTCACTCAGACCTAAAGAAAACGAATCTGATCAGAAGATTATATGGAAATCTGACCCATACTTGTTCAGACATGTGGACTAAAGTGGTGGATGGAACATCATCCTATTAATGGGACACAGCATTTTTCAAGCAGGCATGATGGAAAAATCATAGTTATATCAGGAACAAAACAATAACAGAACCCTCAGTTTTCTAAGGATGGTATCTAAAAACTGTTTTTTGTGGATCTAAGAATTTGTTTGAGTTGGACTGAACAATATCATTTTTTAACATCTGGCCAGAACAGAAGCAGCAGCTAGCTTTGCTATCATGATCTAAAATTCACATTCCCCTTGCCTCAGCATGCTTCCTAAAAGCATCTTAAGACTAAAATGATTGTAAAATCTATCCTATGGACCTTCTTAAAATGATTTTAGCCTAGTCGATATTTTTTAAAACAATAATACATGAAATGACAACGTGACACTGTGAAAAGGGGTCTTTGGTAGTAATGAACCTATAGGCTACAGAACGTCATGAACAGAATCCATGGCTTCCCTCGACCTTTTGATGCTTTATCATGACTTTCAGCTTGTTGCTGTATCCAACCCGCAACTTAAATTTTTTGGGTCACTTTCACCGCTCTCACGGCATTGCATGCAGCATCAGCAAACGATGCTGCATGCAGCTGTTTTCTGTGAAAAACAGACACAGTTGGTGCCTAACTGGTGTTTATAGTGGAGAATTTAGCAACAAAAGAGCCAGAAGTTTCCCTCAGGAGTGGGTGGAATCAGCGCACTGCCAACATTGCATTCACAACTTATTTCCACTGCCCCCATGTGGCCAAAATCTCTGTTACTGCAGGTTAAGCTTAGAGGTAGCCTATAGTCTGCGATTCTGGTGAAAGACTATTGATATTTACATTTCTCACTCCCTTCAGTTAGGGTTGTGTAACCAGGGCCTCCACAATTCATGAACATGTTAAAATGTCAATGTTGATGTAACACCTGTGAACACACCTTTCAGTCGTCTGCCTGTTTGAACTCAACAGGCTTTTTACATGTTAGGTCCATTTTGTTCTGTTGAACATACATAACTACATTAATCATACTCTACGCTGGGCTGTGATCACTGCCAGAATGCAGCACTGATGCTACCGCTGCTGTTCAGCCAGTGTAGTGAAGATCTAAACTAAAACTCTAGCTACTGAGAGTTGCAGACATTTGTTTAGCAAAAGACTGCATATGCGTTTACTCACAAGTAGTTCTTAGATGCCAATGAACAATATGAGGATGTTATAGATATTATTATTACAAATAGGGCTAACAATGAATGCACATATATTTCTGCAGGTTTAAGATCCGTCGGATGAAAGCCAATGCTCGAGAGAGGAACCGCATGCATGGGCTGAACGATGCTCTGGAGAGTCTACGGAAGGTTGTCCCCTGTTATTCCAAAACCCAGAAACTGTCCAAAATTGAGACACTCCGCCTTGCCAAGAACTATATTTGGGCCCTGAGTGAAATCCTGCGCTCCGGAAAGGCGCCTGACCTCATGAGCTTTGTGCAGGCACTCTGCAAAGGTGAGCATCAAATAAAAGCAACAGACAGATGTCTGGTCATAGGACAGAGACATGAAGGGAAAGTTATGGCCATGAGGCCTCAACCAGAGTTTTATTTTACAATGAAATATCAGATAAACCCTGCTAAATCTTAATGAGCCTCTCTGATTTCTAACAGCACCCTTGACAGCTGGGCTTTCAAAATGACAATGCCAAATGTAATGATCAATATTGACTGATTGTTTTTGTTTTCAGGTCTGTCTCAGCCAACCACTAATCTGGTGGCCGGCTGCCTGCAGCTCAACCCTCGGACCTTCCTGCCGGAGCAGACCCCTGACCTGCCGCCTCATCTTCCCCCTGTTGGCACCGCTGGTTATCCAGGACACTTCTCTTACCAGAGCCCAGGGCTGACGGCGGGCTTGCCCAGTCCGCCTTATGGTACCATGGAGCCCTCCCACATCTTCCATCAAGTCAAAGGTCAGCCCTATGGCCCTTTAGAGCCCTTCTTTGATGGTGTCCTGGTGTCAGACAGCCCAGCCTTTGACCCGCCCCTTAGCCCACCGCTCAGCATCAATGGGAACTTCTCATCCTTCAAGCATGAGGCTGTCGCAGCTGCCGACTATGACAAGAGTTTCTCCTTCAGTGTGCACTACGGGGGAGGAGGAGCTGGGGGCCACCCTGGCATCTACAATGGCGGGGGGTCTAACCCACGATGTGGTGAACTGCAGGTGGATGGACTGATGAGCTTTGATGGACACTCACACCACGAGCGGCTGATGAACGCCCAGCTGAACGCCATCTTCCACGACTCCTGAGGAAGAGGAGGATGAAGGACTGAGAGTGATGGAGACAGAGAGACGAACTGATGGACCATCATGTATCTTTCTTTCAGTCCTTCTTTCTTTTCTTCATTCTGTCTGTCAGGCTCTGTGACTCTTCTTCAGTTTAGTAATCAGGATGGTGAAGTTGATGATGTCACACTGATGCTGTAATCATTGTAGCACTTCATCTTGCGGAGACGCTCTCTGAATGTCTCATGATTATTCATATTATCACTTTAAAATTATCAATAATCAATAAGCAATAATCTGGAAGAAACTATGCAATTTTGTTAAACCCTGAGTGATGCTCAGCTGATGATTCCATATGTTAAAAGAATAAAAATTTCTCTATTTTTTTGGTCAGTGTGTGAGGCAGTGTTGGGCCAGTGTTAAGCTGGCAGTGGGTCGAAGTGTTCATGTGGTTTTTACTTTTTGCTTTTTATAACGTTACTGTAGCATTCTGTTAACACTTCATGTAACTTTTGTTCATATTTGATAAGATAGATGTTTATAAAGGCCTTTTATTAAAAGGAATTCAATGTGACTCGTGAGAGACTCTGTTCATCAGCAACAACACAAAAACATAATAACACCTCACTTTAGTCCAGTTTAGTCTAGTTTACTGACGTTGTATCCAAATTCTTTCAGTATACTTCTAGTTTGTATATTAGCATACATCTGGCTCAAAGACATAACCACTGGTTTCTCTAAAAAGTAATTCATCGTTAATGTGAAGACGAACCAAGAAGGTCATTTAAAAACATTTATGCTGTTCTGAAGGTAATTTCATTATAAAAACCTTCAAACCATCTGGATGATAAACCACTCAGTCCTTAGTCGTTAATCAAGTTGCACCTCTGTTTCCCAATCAAAATAAAGTGCCAGCTCATTGGTTATTTGGAAAAAAAAACATTGGACATAGACTAAAAATCTTTTTAATTGTCAAGTGATATGCATATTTTTTTCATCCAAATGGTTAGAAGAGAATATAGGGATTTTGAAAATACATCCAGAAATGTTTTTACATGACGCTCTGATTAATTATCTTTAAGAGTAACTGAAATAAGTAACCCAAAGGTGTGTCAATACATAAGAAAGCACAAAGTTGCTTTTAGTCCCCCAGAGCTCAGTTTAAAACACATTTACAAATAAAAACTGTAGAATTTAATATAATAATACATCAACAGCAAAACATTAAAATCCTTAGATTTAGCTTGATGCTGCAGACTCTGTATGGCTTAAGCTAAATTTAACCCTGAATTGTCAATTGTGACTCATCAGAACCAGGCGAGCTATGATTTGACTTCCAGTACGAGGGGGTTACAACACCTGATTAATTACTCAAACAAACAATCTGGCTGTTGAAAGAACAAATGGATTTATGGTATAGAGATAAAACAATCGGTTAGATGAAGAGCAAACAAATCTTTAGCATTTATAGTAACACTGACTATATTTGGATTTTAGTGTTACTAGGGCAAAACTATGAATCTTGAGGCATTGCCTTTGTTTCTGGGAATTTGTGATGGGCCTTTTCCACAATTTTCTGACATTTTATGGACCAGACAATCACAAGAGTGATCAACAGATTAATCAATAATAATAACATTGGTGGCTGCACACAGGTGCTTGAAAAGTTTTGAGTTGATTTTAGGTATAAGCCAAGAACAATACACATGAGGAGCGAACTCAAATCCCCTTACAGAGAAAATCCCATTAATAATATTGTCACTCCAATTGAAGAACAAAACCAGGAGAACTTTGTGTGTGTGTGTGTGTGTGTGTGTGTGTGTGTGTGTGTGTGCTACTTTTATACATTGTGAAGACCCGTTTGAGTTCTATACTATGTGAGTAAAGTCAGTGTGGCTGGTCCTCACTTTCTGACACACTTTGAGGCTTAAGATGTTTTTAAGGGTTATGGGTAGAATTAGGTTTTGGATGGGCTTAGGTTTTTAGTTGTGATGTTTAAGAGAGGGATAAGGGTTTGGGAATGCATTATGTTAATGAGTGACCTCACAAAAAAGGCTGTACTGTATGTGTGTGTGTATTTGTGTGTTCTTGTACATGCTGCATTGTGAAGACCAAAAAAAGCATTTTTTGCTACAGAGTGAGGACATTTTAGGAAAGTGAGGACATTTTGGACTGTCCACACTTTCTGAAACAGCTTTTTGAGGGTTAAGACTTGGTTCAGGTTAGGGTTAGACATTTAGTTTTGATGGATAAGATTAGGGTAAGGGGCTAGGGAAGACATTATGTCAATGAGTGTCCTCACAAAGACAGAAGTACAAGTATATTTTGTGTGTGTGGAGAGCACAGATGTTCGTTCTGCAGGCAAGATTTTAATTTATGAAAATGATCCTGTTTATGCATGAGAGCCCCCCTCTATACATACTGCTGTCCTGCTGTGTGTGTGTGTGTGTGTGTGGGGGGGGGGGTTCTAAGTCAACAGGGACAATATGGTGGCCATATCCTATCATTTAGCCTCACTTTTAAAGCAGAATAATAATGAGAGAAAGACTGCAACAGATTCATTATGTTCAATACGCTGTTAGTTTGCAAAACAGAAAGGAAGATGCTCTGTTAGTTTTTTGACACACTGAGATAAATTAACTGCAGTTTAATGGAATCCTCCATTGTGGAGGTGAAAATGTTCAGTTTGTGTTCAAACTGGTTCAGAGAGGTGTTGATTCAACTGTGTGATCATTTAGAGGCTGTAGTTTGTGCTACTGTTGAACTACACAGCATCATACAGAGAGCTGTTTCTGTTATTTAGTCCTCAGTGAAAACAATGGGGTAGATAAAACAGAAATGCAATACAACAGTATCGTGCACTACATCTTCCAAAATGACACAACATAAATGGAACATTATCACTTTCATGAACAGAGGATTTACTGCAAGTCGGTTGATGTATTCAAATGTAGTTTTAGCTGAATGTACCTAATAAACTGACAACCGGGTTTATATTTTAGTTACAACATCTACTATATCTGAAAAATAATCAACATACTTTGTCACAATACCAAGAGAAAACACTGTAGACACATGTATGACCTGGATAAAATCCAAAAGAGAGGTGGGCTGTTCTCGGTGAAATTTTTATAATTTATCAGAAATAAGTATTAGTATAACTGTCATGTGGACATTTCTCATTACACTCAGAATACAGTTACTGCAATAACAGTATTAGTATTAGTAGTGATAATAGGAGTATTAGTAATAGTCTTTGTGATGGAGGTTTTGTGTTTCAGTCTGTTGGCTGATCATAACACTGATTAATGCAGCTTAAACTCAGCCATCTGTTATCAACACAAGCTCTCTCTCTGTGTGTGTGTGTGTGTGTGTGTGTGTGTGTGTGTGTGTGTGTGTGTGTGTGTGTGTTTGAGTTGTAGCTCATAGTACGGGACCACCCTGCTCTCTGATTGGCTGGCAGGTACACCTCTACACAGTCAGTGCTTAAGGTATATTAAACTGCAGGCAATATAGTACTGGTGCTTCAGAGCTTAACCGACTACAAACACAACTGAAAGCATTGAGGAAAAGGCTGACACAGATTCTCTTTGTTCCTGTGGTCAGTGGACATAACAAAAGACACAGGACTTTCAGGTGTCCATGTCGGAGTGATACTCATAGGCTGCAGAAAATCTACATCACACCACATCTACATCACATTGGCTTTGGTCAATGTTATTAAAACCTGTAACATCGCTGTTATGACAAGACTTGAAATACAGAAGACCTTGTTGTAGCGTAGCATACTGTAGCCTGTCTGAAATAAACTTTAAAATGACTTGGAAAAAAGAATCAGCTAACTGTCCAGATTACGTTCATCGGTCAGGCAGGCTATAAGGTAGTAAAGTAAACACTCCAGTGGAGTACAAATAACCTACCTCAAAACTGTAGCTTACTCACCGTAGTTGAGTAAATGCCATGCAAACTCTACCATAATGAACCATTAGCGACTACTCTTCAGTGGCAGAATATAGACCTACATTTACTCATGTTCAGTAGGCTACTTAAGTACAGATTTTTTGGAATCTGTACTTTAAGTATTTCCATTTCATGGCAATTTATACTTCTACTCAAGTATATCTCTTATTGAAATATATATTATTAGATAGGCCTATAGCCTATTAAACACACTAGCCAAGGTACAGTAATACACCGTGACTTTGAGTTTACTCTGTATATCGCTCGACTAAACGACAGCGCGCACGCCCGTGGAGCTACCGCGTTCGTGAGCTAAGCTGCATGTTTCCATAGCGACAAGACCCCGGAAATACACCTGCCAGTGGTGATCAGCTTACTGCACGTCTATCTGCCGCCCTGTGTATCAGGGGGGAACACAGTTTGTTTGTTTGTTTGTTTATTAGCCAATAAACATGTCGGAGCGTGACGACGAGCTGCACATGAGAGACAGCTCAAAGAAAAAGGGAGAGACTAGGGGCAGGAAGAAGAAAAAGAAAGAGAATCAAGACGAAGACGAAGAACAGCAGCGGATGAAGGAGGAAAGGGAGCAAAGGTGAGTGGTTACTTTTTTACAGGTGACGGACAGACCCACAAGTCTCGGAAAACACAAAGAAAGAAGAGCCTTAAACGTTTCTCCAATAAGAGTATGAAATATCACGAAACCTTTTAACTAGGTCACAGTAAAAGTTATAAATTGATGCATCAACATGTAGTTGAATAGTTTGAAAACACCCAGGATTATTTCACTGCTTTCAGATCAGCTGAAAGACCACATGCTTCTCAGGTTGACATCAGTTCTATCAATGAACTTTTTATGGGGGATTCTTTTCCTCTGAAACTCTTTTTATCACAATATTGTTTTTACATTCTCCCAGATCCATAATTACAGTTTGGACCAATCCAGTTGTAGTTCATTCCTATTGTCAGAAATCCAAAATGTGACAGAATCTATCCACCAGCTGTGAGTGCAGCTGCTCTGCCTGGTTATTCATTAGACCACACAGCTGCATTTATGGTTGAATTTATGGTCTATGAATACAGTTACAGTGGCTGTACTGTGGCTACTATTTATTGCTTCTATTAGTAATGATCCAAGAACACATCTCTCAGCCACACGAGATACATCTATCAGAAATGACAGGTGTGTTAATACACCACACACAACGTCTGAATGTAGTTAGTTAAACTAATAGGTCACAGTAATCACAATGTAAACACAATGTAAAGAACTGGTTAACTAACTCCATTAATAGCTCTGCTATATTCATCTACAGACGAACTGAACTTAACCTTTAATTTCTTAATTTTTTAAGTTTGTCCAATAGTTTGGTTTATGATCAAATACATGTAGACACTTAGTTTTGTCCAAACATTGCTAAACTGTTAACACAGGTGGATGAAAAGAATATTATTTAAAAGGAAGAGAGCATCTTGTTCCCATGATCTTAATTTAGGCCCCAGTCAGGTTTAGTCTGTTTGTCAGACAGTTTTACCTCTGAGCAAAAACTGTCAGAGGTCAGAGGTCAGCAATGTAAGCAGTAGAGCTGCACCAATTAGTCATCCATCCATCCATCCAATTTCCAAACTGCTTAGTCCCAAACGGGGTCACGGGGGGCTGGAGCCAATCCCAGCCAGCTGCGGGCGAAAGGCGGGGTACACCCTGGACAGGTCGCCAGCCCATCGCAGGGCCAACACACAGACGAACAACCACTCACACACACAAGCACTCCTACGGGCAATTTAGAGACACCAATCAACCTATGCTGCAGGTCTTTGGACTGTGGGAGGAAGCTGGAGCACCCGGAGAGAACCCACGCAAGCAACTAACATAAATTTAATAGTCAACTATTTTGATAGTCTTTGAATCTTTTAAGGACAAATGCCAGATCATTGCTGGTTCAAGCTTCTCCTGTGAGGATTTAATGCCTTTGTTTGTTTTTTTTTGGTCATTTATGTTTGAGTTTATCTTTAGGTTTTGGATTGTTGGTCAAATAAAACAAGACATTTGACTTAATGTTTTCAGGTTGGGGTAAATTAAAATCATTTCATTATTTTCTGACATTTTATAAACTGAATGATCCATTGAATAATTGTAATAAATTGTAATATGAGTAGATTAAATCAGTAGATAATCAGTAGATTATCGATATTGCTAGTTGCAGTCATAACCATCAGTATGACCTACTGATTGATTAATCAGTCACTTCATTGATAAAACTAATTTTTTAAAATACATTCTCTGTGTATGTTTGTGTGTGTCAGTGAGTGTATTGTGCTGCACGGCATCTTCAAACTGGGTAAGAAAAGTCACGATGTCCTGCTTACCCGAACCAGACTGACCTGGACCCCTGTCACCCCAGAGACCCCCTCAGGTCAGTTACCACAGTGAGAGGTTGTCATGGTGATCAGAGATGGGGTGGTGTGTGTGTCAAGACAGCTGGTGCTGTAATGGAGAAGTTGTGTCATGTTGAGACCACCTGAAACATGACATCTGGTCACACACATCCACTGCATGGGAGACAATTTGGATGCTTCTCATAGAAAATATTAGAGCATGGCTCTTGATCAGAGGAAGTTAATCAGGGCCTTATTACCCAGTAATAATTGAACCTAAAAGACAAAGAGGGTTTTCCAAGAGCAATACAATGAATGTTCTTCAATTTCTACACATTTCACAAAACAGAACTTAAGAGTGGGAACATATACACAATGCCACTGGTCTGTTGAGCTGAAGATGATGCTGAATACACTTCAGTGTATCTTTGCTTATTTAAAGTTAATCTATTATTTTCACTCTAGAGGGTCCATCCATTATCGATACTGCTTATTCCTGAATAGGGTAGCGGAGGGGCTGGAGCCAATCCCAGCTGACATTGGGCGAAAGGCAGGGTACACCCAGGACAGTTTATCACAGGGCTGGCATGTAGACAAACAACCACACACACTCACTCCTACATGTCTTTGGCCTCGGGGAGGAAGGCAGAATACCCAAAGAGAAACCACGCAGGCACAGGGAGAACATGCAAACTCTACACAGAATGGCCCCAGGCTGGCCCGTTCTCGAACTGGGAACCTTCTTGGTGTGAAGGAACGGCGCTAAACACTGTGCCGCTGTGCCGCCCTTAGAGGGTCTAGAGAGACTCAAAACCAACAGACACCATAAGCTGCTCCTAACTGCTCTTTGCACCTCCCATCATGTTCTGTTTCTTAGTGACGATGTGAACCATGGATGCCTGGTACAATATGCAACTTCAGGTTTAAAGCTGGTGTTAGCTGACTAACAAGTCAATTTGTCAATCTAGTGGAATGCTCTGGTTACTGCTAATGTGACACAAAGCTCAAATTACTCCCAAAGTAAAATCATATTAATTCAATACAAAGATAAAATCATGACCATATTATTTCGCTAATGTTACAAAAACAAACGCATTAGCTTTAGATGCAACACACCTTGAAGGAATAACTCCACATCTGAATCAAATCTGAGTCCTTTGGCTGCTTCTAACACTCTCCATCTCAAAAAAGCCAAACTGATATTAACCCTGGTTTTTTTGCTCTATCATTGTCCCACTCTCTCTGTGCAAAATAATATGCTGTCTTCACTCTGGGAACCAATGTTTCAGACTTGTCCAGTTTTGGGTTTGTCCAGTTTTTATATACAGTCAATGGGTAAAACACATGAAGAGGAGAGGTACAATAATGATAGAAACTGACAGATCATTTACTCAAGTCATGACTCGTGTCTGTTGTGTTATTTTCTAATTTAAACATTATCACCTAATTGAGAACATACAATAAGTGTTCATAATGAAAGTACTGGCTTAAAAATGAACAAAAACAATAAAAATAAGTTTTGGTTCATCCTGCAGGTTCTGAAGTTTCTTAATCTGCAGCAGGTAGAGGGCACTCCTCGGTTTTGATGCTTCTGTGAAACACCTGTTAAACTTAGGAAGGTTCATATAAAATTATTTTTCAGTTATCTTGGCCTAAAGATGCTTTAGGGAAATGTGGCCCAGATTGGCGAAACAAAACGTCTTGTAAAGCTAGCAAATAGTGTTTGAAAACACTTAGGATAAAGTGTAAATCTCATCTTTAAGTGAAATGAGTGTTTCAGGCATTTATGTAGAAGCAGAAAGAGATGACTTCTTGTAAGACTGCAGGTAGACGCAGAAACCGTTATACCTCCAGCTAGCTAAAACAAAACACACTTTGAACTGAAAAGATGCTTTCTCCACTCAGACCCTTCTTCTTCTTCTTCTTGCGGCTGTTCCTGTTAGGGGTCGCCACAGTGAATCATCTGTTTTGATTTGATTTGATTTATTCTTTCAAACATGTAACAACAGTCAATATGTCAACACACATAATTCCACACATATCCACAAATATATTTTCAATTTGCTTATACTTAGTACATGCTTGAACGGAGTAGGAAGAAGTTAGACTTATCTAGTCCTACCCCCTAACGTCATCTTATCATCATTGGTTTGCAAGCAGTATTACTACATGGATAATTTTGTTCTACACCACGCTAGTGATATACTAAAAACACCACACTCCCAATGTTACACCTGATTAATCGTTAAGCCTGTTCTTGCCCATATCTTGATTGACACATACCTTTATATTTGTGTTTAAACTCATCAATTTTCTTACTGTTTTTTATGTCCACACTTAAATTATTCCATAGTTTTACCCCACTTATGGAAATACAGAATCTTTTTTTGGTTGTACGTATAGCATGAATTTTATAATTTAACTGACCCCTTAAATTGTATCCCCCTTCCCTTTCATTAAATAGTTTTTGAATTCCACCAGGTAATGTTTTCAACACCATACTCCAAGTATGGTAAAATCAATGAAGAATACAAAATGCGTAGTGCTTTCCCGTCCAAAATATGTCTAACCCTTGCCAATACCGATATGTTTTTTGCTATTTTATGCTGAATATATCTGATATGAGATTTCCAGGTTTCCACCACTATCCTCTCCTAATGTGTGAGAGGGCGGTGGGGCAGGTACACAATGTGTCAGGTGGTGCCAATTAGACGTAGATGAGAGAGCTTCAAAGGGAGAACAGTTATGCACAAACGTCCCACCTTTTTAGCTAGCCTCTTCCTCTGAATGCTGTCCTGTACTTCCTCGTTCCACCACCATGTTTCCTTATCTTCTTTCCTCCTTCCAGATGACATACCTAGCACCTTCCTACCTGTCTCCCTGATCATTTCTGCTGTAGTTTCCCCAGTCATCTGGAAGTTCTTCCTGACCACCCAAAGCCTGTCTCAACTTCTGTCTGAATTCCTCATGACATTTTTTCCTTTGCAACTTCCACCATTTGGTCTTCTTTTCAATCTTTCCTCTCCTCTTCTTCCTGACCACCAGAGTCATCCTACACACCACCATCCGATGCTGTCTGGCTACACTTTCTCCTACCACCACTTTGCAGTCACTAATCTCTCTCAGATTGCCTCGTCTACATAAAATGTAGTCTACCTGTGTACTCCTACCTCCACTCTTATATGTAACTCTATGTTCCTCCCTCTTCTGGAAATAGGTGTTAACTACACCCATTTCCATCCTCTTAGCAAAATCCACCACCATCTGTCCTTCTAGGTTCCTTCCCTTAACACCAAACCTGCCCATCACCTCTTCATCACTTTTGTTCCCCTCACCAATGTGCCCATTGAAGTCTGCCCCAATCACCACTCTCTCCCCTCTGGGCATTCTCTCCATCACCTCATCTAACTCACTCCAGAATCTCTCCTTCTCTTCTAACTCACACCCTACTTGTGGAGCATAACCACTGACTACATTCACCTCTAACACATTCCTTATGAGCTCCTCCTTCAGGATCACTCCTACCCCATTTCTCTTCCTGTCCACACCATAATAAAACAGTTTGTATCCCCCTCCAATGCTACACGCTTTGCTACCCTTCCACCTGCTCTCCTGCACACACAGTATACTATATGTACCTTCCTTCTCTCCATCATGTCCACCAGCTCTCTACCTTTCCCTGTCATTGTGCCAACGTTAAGAGTCCCTTTTCTCAGACCTATACTCCTGCCTTTCCTCTTCTCTCTCTGTCTACAAATCCTTCTACCTCCTCTCCTTTGACCAACATTAGTCTAATTTCCGCCAGCACCCTGTAGGTCAACAGCACTGGTGGCGGTCGTTGTTAACCCGGGCCTTGACTGATCCGGTATGGAATTCGCACTGATGATTCGCATGTTTAAATTTGGCATGTTTTTAAACCGGATGCCCCTTCTGACGCAACCCTCTCTATTTATCTGGGCTTGGGACCAACACAGAAGTCACTGGCTTGCAACCCCTGTGGCTAGATTCTTCTCCACTCAGACCCTTTACGGATAAATGCAGTTTATGGTGTGGTTGTGTTGAGGTGATACTGTGGTAGTATTTTTGGTACAGTATCATAATGGTAACATTATGTATTATTTTGGTAATGTACTGCACTGCTTTTGGTTGTCCCTGGAACCAACACCTTAACGTGGTGGAGGGGTTTAAGTGCCTGAATGATCCCAGGAGCTATGTTGTCAGGTGCTATATGTCCATGGTAGGGTCTCTCATGGCAGACAGGTCCTGGGTGACAGACCAGACAAAGGGCGGTTCATAGGCCACTTATGATGAACAAAGAGTCAAGGCTCACGTTTACCCTGCCATGGCAAAAACTCGGGCCTGGAAGGAGTTTGGTGGGGCCATGGAGGAACACTTTTGGTTGGCTTCAAAAAGATTCTGGAAAACTGTCCAATGGCTCAGGAGGGGGAAGCAGTGTTCTGTCAACACTGTTTACAGTAGAGGTGGTGTGCTGCTGACCTCAACTGAGGATGTCGTCGGCCGATGGAAGGAGTACTTTGAAGATCTCCTCATTCCCCCCGACACGGGTTTTGCAGCCGAGTGTGAAGCGGTAGGGATGAGAATTAGCACCTCCAAATCCAAGGCCATGGTTCTCAATCAGGAAAAGGTGGATTGCTCTCTTCAGGTTGGGGGCAAGTTGCTCCCTCAAGCGGAGTTTAAGTATCTCAGGGTCTTGTTCACAAGTGAGGGAAAAATGGAGCGGCAGGGTGACAGACGGATTGGTGCGGCGTCTGCAGTAATGCGGTCTCTGTACCGGTCCGTTGTGGTGAAGAAGGTATTACGACTCGGCTCTCAATTTACCGATCGATCTACGTTCTTACCCTCATCTATGGCCATGAACTTTGGATCATGACCAAAAGAATGAGATCATGGATACAAGACGCAGAAATGAGTTTTCTCCGGAGAGTGGCTGGGCGCACCCTTAGGGATAGGGTGCGGAGCTCAGTCACCCGTGAGGAGGCTGCTCCTCCACGTTGAGCGGAACCAGTTGAGGTGGCTCAGGCACCTGTTTAGGATGCCCCCTGGATGCCTCCCTGGGGAGGTATACCGGGCATGTCCCTCCGGGAGAAGGCCTCAGGGCAGACCCAGGACACGTTGGAGAGACTATGTCTCCCGGCTGGCCTGGGAATGCCTTGGGGTTCCTCCTGAGGAGCTAGAGGAGGTGTGTGGGGAGAGGGAAGTCTGGGAGGCTCTGCTCGAGCTACTGCCCCCACAACCCGGTCTCGGATGAAGCGGATGAAGATGGATGGATGGATGAAATATATTTAGATAGAGCTGGTTAGTGGAGAAAGATGGTGTAATTCTGGGACCTGCCTCCCTCATCAGTACTGGACAAAGTAAATCATCAAATTTTATGAAAATGGCAGAGTGTAGGTTAGAGCAATGTTTGGCTTTGGTCAAAGTTAGGGTAAGGGTTAAGGGAAGTCTCCCGGAAATGAATGTAAGTCTATGTAGGGAACCAGTAAGTGGCAAAAACAAGGATGAATGTGTGTGTGTGTGTGTGTGTGTGTGTGTGTTGTTGAATCCAACCTGTTTTGCAGTATTTCATCCAAGCTAATGTCATTAAGCCAGCACTGTGTGTGTGTGTGTTGGCAATAGTAGACAGCAGTTGGTTCAGCCTGTGGGGGGTTATTAGAGTCTCTCAGTGTGAGGAGATTAACACACACACACACAGTCAGCCTGTCAGCATGCTGTGTGTGTGTGTTCATTAGATATTTTTCTATAAAATGAATCAGCTGTTATTTTTTTCGATGCATCAATTCTTCCTGTCTCACCCAGCAGCCTGTCTGTCTGTCAGGGAGACGAAATCTGAGCTGTCAGATAAAATGGATCCTGTTTTGTATTGGTACAGAAAGTCAAACCTACAGTAGCATGAAAGAATTTCAAATGATGACCAGTTACTAGGCAAGAAAGTATGTTATAGCTTTGTACTAAATATACAATCAGACAGATTTCAGTAGATAGTGGTAGGTAGATAGGTACGTAGGACTTTATTGATCCCACAATGGGAAAATTCTTGTGTTCCAGCAGCAATAGAAAGCAGCAACAAAACACCATAGGAACAAACACCACACATATATCTTGAGAAACAAATTCCAAAGTACCTAAAACCAGACAGAATATAGTATTTGAGAGACAATCACAAACAAGAATGATCCTCCCACAATTACAGAATGGAGGAGATGCTTCACATGTTTTCTAACAGGCTAGTAAAAGGCTGATTCTTTTTATTGTGATATTATCCAGAAGAGTGCTTTGATTCTATAAGTGTGTTTCTGTCCACATTTTTATGCACAATTTCGCTTTCTGTAGAAACAATCCAAAACAATTAATGTATACCAAAACCATGAGCTCAATCAGGCTATCTGTAAAACTGGTGCCACTTCTGTAGGTTTGTTACAGAAACTCATCACTTTTTATTCAGTTTTCTTCCACTGTATGCTTTGCAGGTCATGTCACATCTTAATTTAAAAAAGTGGATATGAAAAAATAAATCCAAACAAAGAGCGAGGCAGATTCTTCCTCCACCAGAGTAAAGATGACTCTGATCTGAGCTGACAGAACCTGCAGAGCTGCTACACACACACACATTGTATTTACCCGTCACAGATAGCGTGTTGGTTGCCTCCAGATGGAGATGAGCCCATCATGCCCTCACCGACCCAATGTACCAACACACAACATACAAACACACATACGGTAAATATATAGCACATACACATGTTAGGTTGCTATTGTTATAATTGTGAGGGCTTCATATTAATCCATGGAGGCTTCACCTTTGTATAAATCTTAATTTAAGACTAAATCATGTCAAATTATTGGATATGTAGACACACACACACACAGTGGCAGTCCAGTCTCATGGTGACCAGGCCATGTGGCTGACTGCGGGGAGTTATGGAACAAACACAGAGCTCACACACACACACACACACACACACACACACACACACACACACACTCACTCACTGAGGCTGCAGTGCTGCATTGCTGCTCTCACTGTCACTAATGACATTGATCATGCAAACTGCTCTCCTGTTCCAGTATTGTTAAATAAGTGTTACTTAACATGGGTCAGGTTTACATCACATTTAGTGCAAATTTTAATGATATTTCCAGAAAATCAGCAAAAGAAATGCATTGCAGGAAAGGAGGACACAAGAAGATGATGTATTGTACTTAACAAATAAAATAATAATAATTAACCTTAAACGGTAACACTTTATTTTGCACGTTCCTCCTAATTAAATAAATAGTTTATAACCGACTATAGCTGTAAGCAGATCAACATCAGTGTACTCATAAATAATTATAACTCATCCTGTGAGCACCCACAAGCGGAGGCTGTATACACAGATGGTGAATATAATATAGTAAAACACAGTTGTCCTAATATCAAATTTGTTCATGGCAGAAGTTATAATTGTTGTACATTAATAATGTGTTTTAAACCACTTAACAACAATATATCTGTCAGTTTATCTTAGTCTGTTACATGTCAGATACACTATACATATTATCTGTAGTAGGGCTGCAAATCATGAGAGGTTTAAATCTGGATGGGTAAATAATGAAAACAGCATGGGTGGATTTGAATATTTCTCATTGAAGTGGATCACTAAATCTCATTAAGGAGTGTGTTTATTCATGTGCAGATGTTTGTCCACCTGCTGTGATGTGTCCCTCCCTGTCTGAGCTAAAATACAAATGGCATTGTTATGAAAAACAATCTGTTATAGTTGTTTATTCAGTATTCATGTTTTAGCACCATTTCCTTTAAGCCCTAGATCACTGTGGGCTAAACATTACAGCTTGACAGAAGAGATGAGGCCATAAATGAGTCGAGGGGCTGTGGACAGTTCAGGCATGTCTGTACTAACAGCAGGACAGAGACGTCTAAACTCTGTAGATGTTTTCAGGCAGCAGGGATTACAGCTGAACTACAATGACTTTAGAAGAGAGCACTGGAGACTGTAATGGCTATGGACAAATCCAAATAAGGTTAATTTAAATGTTGCTCTTGTAGTTCTTCATGGGAGCAGTAGTTTTTTCTATGCTAACAAAGTAATCATTGTTTAAGTTGTCTACAGTTTCCTATAGCACCTGCTTTAGTAGATATGGAAAATAAACTCCAGGAACATGTTTCATTGTTTTCAGAAAGACCAATGTCAAAAAGGCTAAATGAGTTACTGAAGCTAATAGAACGGGGGCTAGCCTGGATGTGACGATGATGATTAATTGTCTATGGATTGAATGTACACACACTTTAAAGGCTTTGGGAACATATTTACACATATAGAATTATCATGGTTTGAGGCAAAAGACATAATAAAAAGTCAGATTTAACCTTGTTTGCAGTTTCAAGTGCCCTGTCACCAGTTTCACAGACATCTCTGTTATAATGGTGGTCTATGAGGAAATGCTTTTTGTTCTTCATAGGATTTATTCTTAGTTGCAGTGCTGTGGTTGGCACTGGGACAAACTGGCAACCGGCTGAGTTGCTGTAGCATCTTGGTTAATAACAACCATGTGTGTTACATAACTCTGAGTGTACCAACTGAGCTCTGCTGACAGTAACCTCAGAGGATTGGATGATTAATCTGACACTGACCAATCAGGTTTCAGAATTCCTCTCTGATTACATTTATTAATTGACAGGCGCTGCTGTTATGTTCTGCTGATCAGTGGATTAGTGATTAATACAATTATTTATATCAGGTAATGTGAACACAGGTGAACCAGCAGCACAATGCTAAGTTCATAATTTACTGACTGACAATGGCAGTGGACAAAATATGTGAAACCCCTTCTTTTTGCATCAATGAACAGATAATGTTATCCACAGAATTAAAAACTGAACTATTTATGTGTATGAGAAAGAGAAAATAAAATAGAAAAATAAACCAATAATTAAAATAAAATAACAATAATACATAATATGATTGTTCACAGACATCTCTGTTTTATTAGTGTTTGATTAGACAGAAAAGTGACACAGATTTTTCAAACAAGTCTGCACTTTCTGCAAAAATGAGCAGCAAGTCAGATGTGTGTTGCGTTGTGCTGTGTGGTAACTCTTACTCTCTCTCTGCAGGGGAGGTGCGTGTGCTGCAGCCAGGTGTTGTGCTGCTGCGGGATGTGTTTGCGGTGAAGGTAAAGCAGCGACGAGCGGTGGGCCAGCAGTCAGGGGGAGCGGTGCTCGGCGTGGCCCTGTTCTGCTGCAGGAGACGAGGGAGGAGGCTGGAGGAGGACACGCTGCATCTCCACAACGCTTCCGCCGAACACACGCATCTCTGGTTCAACACCCTAAAGGACCTGCTCAGAGGTAACACACACAATCAGATGGTCATCCAGTAAGAAGCAGAGGTCTTCACAGGTTTAAGATTTTACATAAAAGGGGAAACCGAGAACAGTCAGACTTGACCCAAATAGATGCAAGGATAATTAGACAAAAGACAGTGTTTTAACCTGTTTAATACCTGTGAATCAAATCCCAGAAAACTCACATTTAACAGCATAAATCCTGAATAAGTATCCTAAAATTATTTTGCTAAAATAAGTTTGAGTGTTCAGTTCCCTCAACAAAGTTTTGGTGAGCTGTGTAGCTCACAATTCTCATTCTCCTCATCTGATAGTGCATACACTCAGGCCTATTTGGCTCCACTTGACATATTGACACACAGACCCTACCCGACCTGAGTAGGCTGAATAGAATTTGGACCAATTTGGGTCTCAGAGCTGAGTGGACCCATGACTTGTTGTATGAAGAGCAAGCACAAAATTAAAGAAAAAATTTTGACAATGAAAATGCTAAATATGGATACTTTTATTACCACAAACCAAGCAAATTGTTAAATGCCATTTAGTGACATTTTTATGACTTGATGCAATGACCCTTAATTCCAATTTAGGGCCCTGTTTAGAGCCTCCTTGGCCCTTTGTGGAGTCTCTGTCAATGTGATGGCTTAATCAAAAAAATCCAGGCTGATAATGAGAGTTGTATGGTACATAACAGCTGAGATAAACCGGGAACTTGACTCGGTACTTTTGTGAACGTCATACTGTAAGACGATTATACAATGAGTAATATTGTTATTAGCACTAACTGTCTGTCATTGTATGCATCCACCTGTCCATCAGATACAATAAACAGATAGACTCAGGTATTTAATATTTAAGTTGTTTAATGGTCCAATGATTTAGAGCCATATTCACAAAACATCCTAAGGATAAAAGTAGCTCCTAAGTGTCTGAGGTTGAAGAAACCCATTAAACAATGGGCATACAGTAGCTAAAGTGGTGCTGTGTTAACACATTCTTAGTGTTGTTTAAATTAAAGTCAGCTGTGTTGTGAAACTCACCTACAGGTCAGGTTATAGCTTTTAAACCTGACATTGTCAGTAATACTGTATGAACTCAAATAAAATTACTTATTAGGACAGTTGTTGACTGGGAGTTACAGTCTATGGACCAAAGTGAGTAGCATCCAACAGCTGCTGTTAGCGTTTGGCTAACTAGCCAGTATGAATGGTGTTAATTTTTTTGGACAATAGTTAAAAGGATGCTCAGATTATAATTTCATTGTTTTCTATCAGCCTGCTCACCACTCAGTTTAATGAGGTGAGTCACAGTTACATCAGAGAGTAGAGCTAATCTGCTAATCCACCACAACAAAGAGACACAGATTACACACACATTCAGCAGTATTCAGTAACATGGCTTCAGCAGATGAGTGATATTATCTGCAAGAGAGATAAGATGAACTACTGTCTATGTGAACTTGTATGTGTGTGTGCAGTTCCCTTTAGTTCACAGTGATCTTGCAGAGACTTAAAGCTTCAGCCAATACACCCTACAAGGCCAAAAGTATGAGGGCATCTGAATGTTACACCTCTATGCAATATTTAAACATGATTACAAAAACATAGGCAGTTGGAGAATCTAGTTCATCCCAGAGGTGTTGGATGAAGGTGAGATCAAAGTCCTGAATCTAGATCTTCCATTCCAAAGGCTAGGCTAAATACCAGACACACCTCTCTGTGCTGTATAATGCAGTACAAGTAAACATACAGTTTAATCAGCAACTCTCTAGAACAGTTTGAACTCAAAGTTAACGTTATCACCTTCATGAATGAGGATTTATGTCATGAATGTTGTGTTAGAGTTCAGCTTGCAGACCTGCAGTATAAACTGCCAACTGAGTTTATTTTCCTCATGAGTGGGTGGAGACCAGAGCTAAGGGACAGTGAATACTGGACTTCATCGGGTAGACACAAACATGACCCCAAATGAATACAAATTTTGCTCTGCTGGATAATTACTGTAGCTATACAGTAAAATTATGTGTAAATACTGTACGACGCTGTTTCCTAACAATTATGTTCTGATGAAAATGTGATTTCTCTCAGCTAACTTTTTAAATATCACACCCTCAGTTTTGTATGCAATTGCATAAGTGTTCTTTTGTATAGATTTAATCATATTAAACTAGTTTAACTAGTTTCTTATGAAAAAAAAAAGTGAACATGACCACCTCCTGTCAGGACCTGTTTGATAGAGTTCTGGATGTTGCTGCAGACTGAAGTTCCCATATGCTGGTTTCCCAGGTGCACTGTACTGGGCGGTGCCTGGCTGACACTTAACACACAATAGCAGTGTTGGAGTGCGGGCTGTATGGATTTAACTCACACACAAGCACACTCAATGTTTCAGGTTTGTTGGCTGCAACAGACATTACAAGCTATCTATAAAGGAGGAGGCTAAAGGTCACACACAGGCGCTGCTGTTGTCCTGCCACCATAGCATCAGTCTGACATATCACTGGTCACCTGTCTGTTTGTCCATCTGTCTGTCCATCAAACCAGAGGCCCTGCAGCAAAGTCACAACTTCTTTAAACATGAAGGGCTCACAGGTCGTGTGTCAGCTCGTGTGGTCACACTGCACATCAAACTGTGACGGCTTTTGTGACTTCACATTGCAGTGGTGGCGTGTATATGTGTGTGTGCGTGTGTGTGTACTAAACACGCTCGGTCGCTCCTCTGCTGTGCGGACATTAAGCCTATTTTCCAGCCAGAGGTCAGTGTGAAAAGCGTATTGTGTGAATCATGGCGTTGTGGAGCAGGCAGTCCACCGCCACTTCTTAACCTTCAGATCTGAACATTCAGCTGCACAATGGTGAGCAGAGAGCAGACACTTCCTGTTTCCACAGCGTTATTCTGAGCTATTTGCCGTGTGAGGCAGCTGCAGAACGCTGCACAGAGAGTGAATGGTAGTCAGAGTGACAAAAGGTGAGCAGTGGTGCTGTATAGAGTCTGTTGCCCTACACGCAGTCAGACGGAGGGATGGATTGACTGCAGTTGTTTAACAGCACAACAGACTGACAGGCCGGTGGCAGTGGCGGAGCCCATGGGGCGGCTGGACTGAGCTCACCCAGGCCGCCAGGTGCCGTCACGACTCCTCCCAGATTAATTGTCTTGTCAATCCAATGTCAGTCTGCTGCTTGCTTACAGAGCTGTTAGTTTGGGTCACAGCGACAAAGATATTTCGTTTATAATGAAACTGATAAAAGCAGCAAAGAAAAAAAAATGGAGAGGCTGGAACCAGACAGCGGATAATGCCTGAAATGCTTATCTGTTTATGAAAATAGCAGATGAGGTCATTTTCTATTGATTGGCAAATTGATTTAGTTCTAACTGTGAAAATAACTATTTTATCAAAATGTTTCAACTTTATTCTCCAACATCAAGATCCTAATGCAACAAACACAATCACAGAGAAGGAGCGATGATTGCAGTAGTAAATACAACTCAATACTGTAATATTGTTGGCTGAGACACTCACTGACATGAGACCAGGTTAAACAAACACTGAACTGTGTGTGCATCCTTATTGTGTCTTTTTTGTATGTTTTAACAAAAGAGAGTGTGCAATCTGAGGAGGACGCCTCTATAAAATGTGTGCAGCCCTCTGTTACACATTAACTGATGCTGATGAGTGTATCCATAGTGACATACCAACCTGTCTCTCTCTTACATTAATCAGGTTGAATGCTTTATTAGTTTGTCAGGAAACAAACTTTATTTGTACAGCAGCACATGTTCATACACTTCCCAATCAATGTACAGGAACACTACTACTACTTTCTTATTTTGTGAATTAAGCTGTACACAAGTTGTAGCAGACATGGTGTCCGTGTTTGTCCGTTGTATATAAAAATGGACAACACATCACCTCTTCCTGCCACTTTGCAAAAGTGAATCTAAAAAACTGCGAATATGAGGGCAGCCATTTTGCCTTTGTGAAATAACATGCTACCAGATTCCTCGCAGTAATGGCCAGAGTTGGAGCTGCAGTATCAAGCCATCAGTCAAATCTGTTTCTATACTACCCCCCATTCATGACACTCTGCTGCCTACAGCCCTTCTATTATTATTCCAGGTTGTCTACCCTGTGTTGTCAAAGTATGGTTTGTAAATTAGCGCCACCTAGTGAAGGTCATAGAAAGCAATTTTCAAACCGTGACTAGTCATTTGAAACAACCAGCCATGGAGGAGCTCTCAGCCACTTAAAGTCTAAAACAGTGGCTCCCAGACTGAAGACATTATGTTCTATTGCATAGAGACAGTGGAACAAAGACAGGACAAAAACCAGGGTTAACACTGGTTTGGCTTGTTGAGATGGAGAGTGTTACAAGCAGCCAAATGACTCAGATTTGATTCAGATGTGGTGTTCTTCTTTCTGGATGCATTAACATTTAATGCTAATGTATTTGTTTTGGTAACATTGGTGACCTAGCATGGTCATGATTTTACTTTTTTATTGAATTAATATGATATTCATTTGGGAGTAACTCAGACTTTGTGTAACATTAGTGCTTTCTGACACATTAGCAGTAACCAGAATGTTGACAAATTTACTTGTTTGTCAGCTAACACTAGCTTCAGACTGGAGGCTGCATTTTGTATAGTTAGTTGCAACCAGGCATCCGTAGTTTATGTCATTGCTAGGTAACAAGACGTGATTGGAGGGGCAAAGAGCAATTAGCAGCAGCTTATGGTGTCGGTCTGTTTTGAGTCTCACTAGACCCTGTAGGCTGAAAAGAAATCAAGTCAAATATGAGTTTTCTTCACTACTCACTTCAGAGTAATCTGGTGATACTTATGTGGACATTCATGGGTACTTTGCAATCAGAACCAGCTAATAACTATTTTGGAATCCTTTTAATCATGCCAATTTGCAGGAATATTGCCAAATATTATATAGACTGAAAAAAGGTTTTTCTGTTGCCTGTGTCACCTATGAGTCAGTTTATCTATATTTCAGAGAATTTATTGTTTAGTCACTATAAAACATTGAAAAATGCCTGTCATAATTTCCTGAAGTGACATAAATTGGCTTGTTTTGTCCAACTAACAGTCTAAAATGTGTTAATTTTACAGTGATAGCAAACAGAGAAAAGCACCAATTTTCCACAGAGAATACTTACAAAATTACTGAACAGCGAGTCTGATTAAACTGGGCATTTAAAGCTTTTAATTGATTAGTGCTGCTTACTGACCTCAGGTGGTCTGTACCAAAATAAAATGTTCTTGTCAACAACATTCAGCAGCTCTGTGTTCAGTGTCAGAAACTCAACACTGCTCCTTGACAACACTGGGATTGTTTACCATGGTAACACTTTAGCAGCACCATAGTAACAGAGGCTGGGAGATGATCTGATGGATACTTGATCTCTGCATCTACGTGTCTGGCTGCCTTTCTTTGTAGCAAAATATCAACAACTTGAATGACATAATCTCCTATGGGACCGTGTAAGAAAGAGCATCAGTCATGTATAGAGAGGGAGGCCTCGTTCTAGGTGTTCAGATCAAGACTATTTCTCTTCGACATTGCTTTCATTAATCTGCTATTTTATAACTTAAGTTGCTAACTTCTTTTCAGAATCAGATCAATAAAGCAAAATACAGTATAAAAATTATTTATTGTTCCCTGGTTGAAAAATTCACAACCTACTCAGCAAATTGTAAGCATATGATGTAGTTAAATTAGCTCCACCTTTACCAGCTGTAACATTAAAGTGATGAACACAATAATGCATCAATAATTTTAATACAGTACAGTAATGTGAAAAAGTGCCATTCTACATAATGAAGTATTTTTACACTGTGGCATTGCTTTAAATATATTTTGATGTTAATATTTTTGTACTCTTACTTAAGTAAAAATTTGAATGCAGGACTTCTACTTGTAATGAAGTATTTTTACACTGTGGTATTACTACTTTTATTAAGTAATAAATCTTCCACCTGTGGCCTGCAAATTGAACCTGTTTATAGCCTATATTTTTATATTTTGGAAAATTGGCATGGTTAAAAGTATTCACAATTAGCTATTAGCAATTCTGTTTGCAGTGTACCCATGAATGTCCACACAAGTATCACTGGATTACTTTGATAGTGAAGCAGGTCCTGGTGTTATAAGTTGCAACTTCCATTGATTTCTTAGCAACATTTATTTGGAGATAATCATATTGTCAGGAAGTGCAGGTCACACTGAGACTAAAAAAAGTGCACCGTGTCTGAGCAGAGTTGAACATCACTGACCGGACAAACCATAAACACCTGGAAGCAGTGAATGACAATATGCTGTACTATACTATAGTTATGTTGAGAGACAGAAAGGGGGGCATTTATGATATACGAAAAGGAATGAAGAGTAGATATAACTCAACTCAACTCAACTCAACTTTATTTATAGAGCACTTTAACACAGCCAAAGCCAAACAAAGTGCTTAACATAAGATTCGATTTGAAACATATAAACACGTGAACAACTACATTAATAAGAATAAAACAACAATAAAATAAAATAAATGAACCAAGATAGCAAAACAACAAAATACTATCCAAAACCAAAACTCAGCCCAAACAGAGTCTCATGCCATATCAAATGCCAAGGCATACAAATGGGTCTTCAAGTAAGTTTTAAAAATGGCCAACGAGGGGGCCTGCTTAATGTAAAGAGGCAGCGCATTCCATAGCTTATGCCCCACAACGAAAAACGCTCTGTCCCCTCTAAGTTTACGCCTAGCCCTTGGTACCCCCAGCAGGAGCTGGTCAGCTGATCTGAGGCGCAGAGAGGGACTATAAGGAAATAAAAGCTCAACAAGGTACAATGGTGCAAGGCCATTTAAAGACTTAAAAACAAATAAAAGAATCTTAAAATTAATCCTAAAGGACACCGGGAGCCAGTGAAGGGATGCAAAAATAGGGGTTATATGCTCCCATTTACGCGCTCCAACCAAAAGACGGGAAACCAGATTCTGAACCAATTGGAGACGAGCAAGTGACAACTGGCTGACTTCAACATAAAGTGCATTACAGTAATCCAAACATGATGTAATAAATGCATGGATTACTGTCTTGCTGGCGTGCAAGAAAAGGCTTTACCTTCGCTATCTGCCTAAGGTGGAAAAAACTAGATTTCACAACTGCATTAATTTGGCAGTCAAATTTCAGACCAGAATCAATTTTTACGCCCAAATTCAAGATCGTCTGTTTCTCATACCACGCCAGGTGACCTAAGTCAACTGAAGGTGGGTCACCAGACTTATTTGGGCCAAACACTGTAACTTCAGTCTTTGTCTCATTAAGTTTTAACAAACTTAGGGTCATCCAGCCCTTAACGTCATCAAGACATGCCAATAATGGTTTAATTGAAAAGTTATCCTTCCTCTTTAGCGGCATATAAATCTGAATATCATCAGCATAGCAATGAAAAAGGGCACCATGCTTTCTCAGGATAGAACCAAGAGGTAGTAGATATAGTGAGAACAGCAAAGGCCCCAGAATTGATATAAAATTAAATGCACTTTATTTGTAGTGATGCAGAAAAAATAATCTCAGAAGATAGTTTGCTTTCAGTGTTTTTACACCTCTGCATCTTTACATCGATTGATTAGATCCACTCAAGCATTAGGGTCACACAACAAGTCACAATTTACTTTATAATATTTATTGAAATAATTTGCTTGATTTAATTAATCATAACTACATATCTACTGAATATTTTGTGTTCTGTGTCTTATTATATGCACCTTGGCTATAATGGCTAAGATTGGAAGAGAGATTGATTAGTAACTCTTACTATTTTACAAGCAAAAATGCCAAACACTGTTGCGTTGTTCCAGGTTCTTAGATTTAATAATCTGTTCTTTGGGATTTGGGCTCACACAGTAATCACTGGTTAATTAGAGAGGGTAAGAGTTTTCTGGGGCACCAGTGGGATGGAGCTTCTGTAATGTTGGCGGTCTAGTAGCGAGAAGAGTGGTAGGGGTGCTGGGGTAGCTCCTCTTCACAGGAACTCCTGAGATATTGGTCAGAGCCGTGGAGTGAAGCGATGGCAGGGGGTACACTCTATGACTGTGTGTGGGATCATTATCAGGGTGGGGTCATGGCCTTTTGGGAGCAGATTATAGTAACGAGCTGGATAATGGAGCTGATGTGTGTGTGCGTATATTGATCTGCGCTGGTCTATGGGGATTTATAATACGGTCTCTAAATCTGCCTAATGATGAGCTGTACAGGGGGCAGTGTGTGTCTGTAATTTGGAGTCGATACTACACACACACACACACACACACACACACATACATACAACCTACAGTACAACTCATCTATACAGAATAGTTTAATGTTTGAATTTATGATGAATAACCTGGGTGCTGATCCAAGCTTAGGTCACATGAAGTCATAAGCATTAGTTACTGAATGTCAGTGATGGTAACGTGTATCTGATAGAGTGTATCTTGGATATAAATATTAGAAAAGGTATTCATCACAGTTTTCCTTTTGTTCAACCAACAAAACCTGAAGATGTTTAGTTTTACTGGGATGTAACTGAGGACAAACACCGGCTTTACACTTTGTGAACTCCATGATTTGTTCTGATGGGTGGAAGTGAGGATAACACAGGAGGGGCAAGGCATGTTGTCTGATGTCATTTCAGATATCCAGAATGGAATTGTGATTAGTCAGAATGTGACTGGATATCTAAAATTTTGAATAGGCAAATTTTAATTGTACATATCTTAAATTAGTTTTGCCATTCATGTCAATGAGGAATTCTTACTAGACAAAATGTTATTGCAGATATGTTTAATTCAAATTTTGTCTCGTCAAAATTTAATTGCAGATATCTTAAATTATAGTTTTAACTAGCCATAAATACATTGCACATATCTTGTCCACTTATTTAATAATAAAAGGGCTTGACTCCTCTTTTCCTTTTGATTCACAGTGTGTGTGGCCTTGATTATCTATACTTGTGGTGGCCAAAACACAGGAGTACACTGTTTTTGTGGGGATTTGCCTCCCTCATGGGTACAAGATGCCAGTCCCATGATGTAAATTGTTGAATTTTGCAAAAAGAAAATGATTTAAGGTTAGGGCGAGGTTCAGGTTTGGCTAAAGATGGGGTAAGTCTCCAGGAAATTAATGTAAGTCTATGTAAAGGCTCAATAAGAGATTAAAACAAGCGTGTGTGTGTGTGTGTGTGTGTGTGTGTGTGTGTGTGTGTGTGTGTGTGTGCAGGGTTCAGCCAACGTCCCAGGTATCTAAAGGTGTTCATCAACCCCAGCAGCCACAAGAAGGAGGCTGTTCATATCTACAGAGAACATGTGGCTCCCCTCTTCAAGATGGCCGATGTCTGCACTGACATCACTGGTCAGTCCATCCATTTGTTTATTCTTCTATACATAAGGAAATCCAGGATAATGTTTGGTAGTGACTGTTACTTTATACATCAGAATGACAGCGGGCGGCCCCATGGCAGATGTTTGGATGGCTTTACTAAAGTGTTAAAGTTATTTGTGAGGAACAGTTAGATGCCCTCTTTCTAGACATCAGAAGACGATGTGAAATCTGTGTGTGGAGCAGGTCCAAAGGTCAGAGTTAATGGCAGTCTCTGGTCGCTAGGTAACCTGATACAAGGGGCGTGGCTTAGCCCATCTGTTGTGATAGAGGGAAACAACCTGTACCTCTCCTTTCTTTTTCTTGGCTCTCTTATTTCCTTTCCTGTTATTTCCTTTACTTTAATTTCCTTTCCTTCCCTGATTTCTCTGTTTTTTCATATCCTCCTCTCCTTTCCCTTCCTTTCCTCTTTTTTCATTACTTTTCTTCTATTTACTTTCCTCTCATTTAATTTCCTTTCCTTTTCCCTTTTCCCCTGTTCACTCTTTCATCCTCCTCTCCGCTTTGGTCCCGTCTTGTCTTCTCCACTTTCCTCTTTCCTCTTGGTTTCTCCTCCACCTCCACCCAGCAGATGGTGTGATATCCATTGTCCCAATTTTTTTTTTTGGCAGCCATCAAACACACATTTATATACATGTGACCACACACGTGCATGAACACTCCTGTCTCTGTCCATCTCAATGTCTCTCCATCTGTCTTTCTCTCTACACATCTCTCTCCTCAGTGACAGAGAGGAAGGGTCATGCTCTCTCAGTGATGAAGGAATGCAAGCTGGATGAATATGATGGGTTGGTTGTCTCTCCTGTGATTTTAAAATTATTACTTACTGGGACAGTTCCACTGTTGTCCTGGTATGTTTCTTGCCACATATTAAATTTATTTCAGATAATATTGCATGAAATAATGTTTACTCTGATTTTCTGATGTTATTCTTTCACGCTATGTGGCTAATTTACTTTTCTTTTTTTTTTGTTTGCCACACAATTGGCATTCAGTGGTAATTTTAGCATGACAAGGTCTGTAATTTGAAAAAAAATGGCAGCATCTTAACAAGTAATCCAGTTATATTAACATAATAGTGGCATTTCAAGGTCACACTTTTGCATTGGCATGATAGCATTAATGAGATTTAGAGGAGATTACTTTACAGACAAATGCTAAAAGATTAAGTTTCAGCAGGTATTTCTCAGAGAATAGTGGCAAATTTTAGCAAAGGTTCCCTGGAAATACTGGGATTCAATCTGGGAGCTTTATCTGTTTTGGCTGCACAAACGCAGATTTTCATTTCTAGCCAGCTACCGCCAGTTTTATTGAAATGAGAGCTGTCAGACATTGTTCACTGTAACTATATTGCTAATTAAACCATTAAATTTTTTCACATGACAAATTTAAAAACGAGAACCAAGAACGTATTATTACACTGATGCTAACCTAACATGTCCCAGGTAAAAAGTCAACATCCCTACAGGCTGATGGTCCATGCAGAGGACATGGAAACAATGAAACGGCAATGTTCTTGTGTTGCACAATAGAGCTTGTTAGTGCTAGCATGCAAAATGTAATCTCAGACTGTTTAATTCTAACATAACCTTGTTGGGTTTAAGCAGAGATTAGGTTTATATTTCTTTTGTTTGTCAAACTGTATGCTTCATTTTTACCCTTACAAGAGAAAATGCTTTAGGAAGACTATCCAATGTGTTTAGTGAGTGTAAACATCCCTAAAACCACACTCAATGTTATTATTACTGATAGAAATGATAGACAAAGATATGAAAACAAGACATAAGCTGTATGAAACATTACATTCCCTTTCATTTTACAGTAGAAGTTAAAGTCTAACACATTAAAGTATGTTATTAAATTCATTCATTCATTCATTCATTTTCTACCGCTTAGTCCCTGAACGGGGTCACGGGTGGGGCCGGAGCCAATCCCGGCCGGCAATCGGGCGAAGGCGGGGTACACCCTGGACATGTCATGTTATTAAATGAAAAGTCCAATTTAATGTTAAAGTGGGAGATTGTGTTAATATAGAAACTGACATGATTAAGAACAAACAGACACCAACACTGAAACACACTGACCCAGACTGATTACACACACGAGGTCAAACACCAAATGTTATAGAGCTGACGCTCATGTCAGAAGTAATACATTTAATAAATCTCAAAATATCATGTTATACTACTAAAACAAAAAATACAACAACAGTACCTAAAAGTACAGGTCCCAAAACACTTATTAAACTCCTATCATTCTATATGTGATGCTGTGTGTGTGGATGAGTATGTGTGCGTAAGCAGCTTTTGTGCTCAACCCTCATAAAGCTTAATGTGCTTAAAGATTAGCTCAGCGTTGCTAAGTTAGCTGCTGACTGTGTGATATGTGTATGTATGGGTGTGTGTGTGTGTGTGTGTGTGTGAAGTTGCTCTGGTGAGGATTTGGTTGAAACCTACATTTGCCAATTAGGCTGGCTGTTTCCGTGGCGACCGGAGCTTTAGGTAATCCCATACACAAGAGGAGGTGGGGCCTGTTTACCTCATATTTCTGCAAACACAAAACCTGCAGGTGATCTTCATCGCTGCTGAAGCCACGGACAGATCTGTCAAACAGCTGGGTTATGATTAGTATTGTTGTTGTTTTTTTTTTACTACCACTACTATTGAAATTACAGTAAACAAAACAAAGACTCTGCCTCACCTGCACAAAATCTGATAACACTGGACCCATATGTTGAATGGATTACTGTTGAAGGCACAAGTAGTAAAGCACCTCAGAGTTCACTGTCACTGGATTTCCTGTCTGCCATTAGAAGTTAAGATCAGTGAAATGAAATGTGCTGAGCGTCACCGTAAGAGCTCAGAGCACAGTTTTATTTTAACTTAGATAACTAAAATGGATCACCTTTGCTCCGTTGCTGCCTGTCTGTCAGGGTGGTGTGTGTTGGTGGGGATGGCTCGGTGGCAGAGCTGTGTCACGCTCTGGTCCTCAGAGCTCAGCTGGATGCAGATTCTCCAGAAAACCCAATGAAACCAGTGCTGCCACTGGGGATCC